AATTTTGCATCCATGCAGAGCTCTACCCAGGTCTCTCACTTCAGTGCATGGTAGTGCTGCCAAAATATCTGAACTCAGCTGACCCAACAACAGGAATTTGTAATGGAAACTTGAAATAGACCTTGAACTGCAGCATCCAGTGGTGAAAGTAACTTGAAATTTCTTACAGGTACTGTCCTTTGGCAATCCAGGTCCCTGCCAGTTCTTTAAATAGATCTCTGTTGTCTTTTGCCACAGCTCAGCCAGCTCTTGCCAGAGCTGTGCACTAGGGCAAAATACCTGCTTACTTTCACCTCTAACCAGATAGAAGGTTATAGCTATAAATACAACAGCCCTGATTTAACTTTCTTCCTGAGTTATGCTTGGACAAAGTGGAGGAAACAGCTCCCCAATTCAGGTCTGCTAAGTCAAGACACAAATTAGGGCTACATAGGAACAATCTACATATGCCAATGTAGGATAAGGTGTAGCAATTCTCTCTTCCATCATAACTCACATTATATTATTCCCATGACACACTATTTCTACAACTTAACTCTCCTTTGTAAGAATACTGGGAAGACCAAACAATGTAAGTTTTCCCTCAAGTAGGGGGTGCTGAAGTTCTGTACCTCTCATATTCCAGAAGCAGCTTAGCAGTGTTCAAACAGAAATCTAGTGACACCTCATGATGCAGAAGTTCAGCAATAGCTAGAGAGAAGGAAACAATACAGATTACTGAGTCACTGAGGAAAATTATCTGCTTGCTGTAAAAGTGTGGCAGGTCTCTATGTGGCCCCTTTCAGCCTGGTGTGGTGGTGTGGGTGAGTTCCATTTTAATTTCCCCCTATTGGGGCAGCATTGGGTTTGTTTTAATATCCCAGGGCAAGGAGAAGCCAACACACATGAATAAAATAGCATGTCCCCTTTCCATAAGGTTTCAGGAGATGAGCAATTCCAATAAACAATTCATAAAGTCCTCACCTAGGGACTCTCAACACAAAGTTTCTGAGTCTATCTTGACCAGTCTCCTGGAGCCTCAGAGGAAAAAAACAGCCACAGAAGCCTGCCTAACTCCTATTCCCTTTTTCCCTGATGAACTTCCTATTCCTGTTTAAACAGCCCAGCCTTAGTCCTGGGTAGGACCTCTTTGATTACACTTCAGGCTTTCCCAGACTGTCCCATAAAGCACATTCTTTCACAATCACACTCTCAAATCCTTTGTCTACTTACGAAAAAAAAACATAATTCTAAAACTAGGAACCAGTTCTTCATATTTTCATTTTCTTTTCATGTTTTCAAAGTGAACTGGAGGGTAGGAAAATGACAAGCTGACAGCTTTGGAGGATCGAGTCCTCTGTCTCTCGTAAGAACACATACAGAAAGGAGAACAATGCAAGCTTCCTCCTCATGCTCTCCCCCTCACAATGTGACTCCACCCTACTCTGGAGGGACCACTTCAATCATGATGGGGAGTTTAGTCTCTATGAACTCTCAGTTAAATTTGCAACAAAAGAGCAAGTTAGCATGATGGTGGGTTTGGGTCGCCTGTCACTGGAGACTGGACTGAAATTCTTCAATAGCCAGAGGCAGTGGTAGCAGTCAATTTCTCCTGTCTCTAACATGTACATTTTCACATCAAAATCTATGAATGGAACACACCCAGCCCACTTCATGACCCCCCTTACCAACCCCTCTCTCCCTGGCCAGCATTTGGGATGGTAGTCTTTCCCCCTTTGCCAGGGATTGAGCTTTCAGCTGGTTTCTGGGGTAGGGAGCCCAGCCACTCCTTCTGGGACTCCCTCCACTGCCTTCTCTAGCTCTGTATGTGTGTATCGAGAGAGAGAGAGAGAGAGAGAGAGAGTGTGAGTGTGTGTCTGTGTGTACATACTCACTCTCTCACACACCTTCTATCCAAGGAAACTTTTAAAGATCTCCAGCTGTGTCTGTCTGTCTGTCTCACACACCTTCTAACCAGGTAGGCTTTTAAAGACTCCAGCAGGTCAGAAGTGGAGTCAGCTGTCACTAATCTGCCTGGGCCAGCTCCCTGCCAACTGCTCCTAATTGTAGTATACCGTTTTCTGTTATTTCCACTCCAATTCATCTGATAAAGTGGATTTTAATCACAAAAGCTCATGATTCTCTATATTTTTGTTAGCCTCTAAGGGTATGTCTACACTACCCCGCTAGTTCGAACTAGCGGGGTAGTGTAGACATACCCCAACTCTCATTCTCACGCCCCCATTTTCCTAATCTCCTGTCCTATAGCCCATCTCCAAGGCCCTGCCCTGACTCCTTCACCCCCACACAACGTGCACCCTGCCCTGAAGGACCTAGGCAATGCTGGCTAAGTCTTATAATCCAAAATATTTTTTTTAGGTTTTTCCTTAACTAAAATCATAAAACCTGACATGCATACATTGGAATATCTAGTGGTTTCTCAAGATACAGGATTACTAAATGGAAAAAGGAAAAGGCAGTTCTGTTTAGGAGCTTATCCTGTTTAGCATGTCATATTTGTGTTGCATATATACAGACATTAAAATAATCTTAAATCATAGATTCTCCTGGGGAATGGAATGTAACTGTACTACACAATGGTACAATACTTTTAAGAGGTTCATGGATTTAAGAAAGGCTTTGTATGTGTCAGATTCAGTCTGAATCCAAACTAATACATTACCCCGCTAGTTCGAACTAGCGGGGTAGTGTAGACATACCCTAAGGTGCCACAGGACTACTCATTGTTTTTAAAGTTACAGATTATCATGGCTACTCCTCTGAGATTTTTTTAACATAAATTCTTCCTGAGCTAGGAAATTATTTGAATTCAAATCCCTTCTGAAGATCCCTTCTGCTATGATATCAACAAAGAAACCAGTTGTCTTATACTGTACTGAGAAGTCTGAGGAGCAAATAAAAATAAAGTATAAAGCCTACATAAAACACAGATCTGTGTTTACAAAGAAATTACTCACCCTATGTGGTAACAATAGTTCTTCAATGTGTGTGTCCTTATTGGTGCTCCACTGCAGACACTGTCTCTCCTTGTTCAACACCGGTGGTCACCAACCAATAGATCGGGATCTACCGGTAGATCTTGGAGCCTCTGACAGGTGATCCTAACTTGTTTGGCCAAGAGGCTGTCAAGTGCCAACACTTCAGCTGCCCCTCCCCCTACAGCTGCACATCTCCTGTCCTTTGCCTTGGAGCTGTCCCCTTAGGAGACTCCTGCTTGCTGTGCAGGGGAGGGAGAGGAGAGTGCTCATGTCAAGATGCATCCTCTCCCAATTTGTATCCTATCTCCACAAAGCAGAGGAGGGCACAACAGGACTTGGGAGGGAGTTTGCTGGCTGCTTTTGGGAGTGGACCAGGGCCAGGACAGGGGTAAGCCTGCCTTAGCCCCGCTACACCACCATCCAGGAGCCACCTGAGGTAAGCAGTGGCCGTGGTTATTTGTGTGGCAAGGTTATTTGGCTTTGAAGTAGATCTTGGATTTCACTTAAATTCAAAAAGTGATCTCATGCTTAAAAAGATTGGAGACCATTGTGCTACACTATAAGGTTAGTCAGTGGGTGTGGGTTAACCATCCTCATTTCTTTCTCTACTGCAGTCATATCGAGAACTCCAAAGTTGATGGGGGGGAGGTCAGATAATGAAGCACATAGGGAGATACATCTTGAAGAACCATCATTACTGAACAGGGTGAATAACTTCTTCGAGTAGTGTCCCTATGGGTGCTCCACTGTGACACCTGAGCAATATCACCTGTAGGACTTTGGGCTGGACTGGTCACATATTCAAGTATTGAGGAGCCAAAAACAGTATCACAGGCAAAATCCTCACTGATCTCATAACATTGTGTGAAGGTATGGACTGAAGCCCAAATCACCACACTGCAGAACTTCAAGATGTGGACACTCTTTAAGAAAGCAACAGATGAAGAAACCAATTGCATGGATCAAGTCCAGAAGAGTAATGTTATAAACCTGGTATCACTGTCTAACACAATTCAAGACCCACTTAAGTCCTTTGACCTTTCCAACATAAAGAGAAACAATCTAGGGGATTACCTGACAGCTTTTGTCCTTTCAAGGTAGAATGCAAGGACTCTTCTAATGTCCAAGGTGTGCAGTATGGCACTCCTATTTTCCCGGTAAGGCTTAAGGTAGAAGGAGGGTAGGTGAATGTACTAGTTCATGTGGAATGAGGAGGTCACTTTAGGGAAGAACCTTGGATGTGGCCTAAGCATGACCTTGCAGGGAAGATTACTGGGTACGGCAGATGTGCCATTAAAGCTGCCATCTCTCTAGCCATAGTAATTGTCACTAGAAAGATGTTTTCATCATCAGATCAGTTAGCAAACAGTTTACCTTGGGTTCAAAAGAGTCAGTCTTTTTAATACTAGATTTAGGTCCCAAGATGGGGAGGGAAGTCCAGTTTGAAGGAAGAGGTTTGTTATTCCTTTCTGGAACTTTATTATGGTTGGATGTGAAATTACTGAGTACCCTTCAATAGTTTGGTGTCCTCAGTCAACACATCTAAACATTTGTCTAGAAATGGATGACTGAGATGTAGATGATGTTGCATAAAGCCTCCACCCGAGCTATTACTTAATTTTACACATGGATTTTCTGGATATACACGAAACTGTAAGGTCCTGCCAACACATGACTTAGAGACTGACAAAAACCTCCTGCTGACTGCGTTGCTGTGGGGAGGGGGGCAGTTGTCTTCTAAATCACTTCATTAATTATTATTTGTAAATGATTATCTGAAGCTTTGTAATTGTTTCAGCTGCATTGCTTTTTAAACTCTGCAACTAGTTATAATCTTTGTTAAACCTTGCAACTTGGTAACTTTCATCCACTCTGCTTGTAACTTGCTCTAAACTGCATTCTCCCCTGAGATATGACAGTGTGTGTGTATGTGTGTGTGTGTGTGTGTGTAGACTATTGCGTATTTGGGATTAGAAACTACAAGTCTGAGCACATGGAGCCAGGTGATGAGTAATCAGACCAATCAAGGAGACACTGCTGCTCTGCTGGATCAAGGGAAGTCTGAGCATGCTCCCTGGTAACGAATGTAGATGAGTCACAGAAGATGTACAGAGGCAATAAAAGGAGAGAGCACATGGCAGAAGCTCTCTTTCTGAGAAGCTCCTCTTTCTGCAGCCAGAAGCTCTCTTTCTTTTCTGACCAGCTCCCCAGCCATGATCACCAGAATCCACATGCCTTGGCTCCTTCTGCAACCCATATGCCTGAGGGCAGGAATGAATGTGTGTGAATGAGTGAATGAATGAAGGAGTGTGTGTGTTTGTGTGTGAGAGTTTAACCATATAGTTCATATAGTGGAGTGTTCATTCCTCAATCAACACTAGTGTAACCCTGAGTGGTTTCCAGTGGGAATTTTTGGGTAACAGATGACTGGTTCTGCATCGGATGGCATCTATTCTGGCACTGGTTGCAGCACTGATCATAATCTCATTGAGGCTGAGTGTATGGGGCAGGACACAATCATTGGCTGAAGAACCTAATCTGTTTCTTTTTGTTTGCAAATAATAAGCATCTTTAACATCACAAGAGAGGATTTCGGAGTGTGTAATGTGTCCATGCTCTCTGCAAACAATTTCTCTCCCTCTAAAAGTAAGTTCTCTACTGTTGCCTAGACCTTCCTAGGAAAGCCAGAAAGTTGGATCGCTAAAGTTCTCTGCTTGACTACAGTTGTGGCAATGAAGTAAGCCACTGTGTCAGCAAAATCCAGAGAACCATGCTGGGCAGTTCTGGGGGTGAGGAAGCCTACTGCTACATCAGTGTTATATTGTTCTCTGTCAGCTGGGACATATTCAATAAAACATTGCATCTGAGAAAAAATGTGTGTGTGCTTGGTCAGTAATGCAGAGTACAGGTTGTACCTCCCTAAACTGGGACTCTCTGATCTGGCAACATCTATGGTCTAGTAGAGAGCCCCAGGGTAGGGCTGCTGGCAGTGCGACTGGGAGCTGGGTGACATGGCAGGGAGCACTGTGGCAGGGGGATTGGGCAGCATGGCAGAGAGCCCGATGGAAGGGGGGTCTGTTCGCATGGTGGAGAGTCCTGCAGCAAGGTGGATCAGCAGCGTGGTGGAGAGCCCCACAACAGGAAGGTCCAGCGGTGCAGCGAACAGCCCTGTGGCAAATGGGTCCAGTGGTGTGACTGGGAGCCCCATGAGGCAGGATGCCAATGTCCAGCAACCCAGGCCAGGGCCAGCAACCCAACTGAGCCAGAGGCAGGGGAGCCAGCTTGTGCCAAAAGTGAAGCCAGCCATGGGAAGGGGCAGGGGACTTGGGGCAGGAAGCATTGGACCTTCCCTGGTCCAGTAAATTTCCTCATTCGGGACCGGTCAGGTCCCAAGGGTGCCAGACCAGGGAAATCCATCCTTTAGTTTGCTATGCAAAACTGAAGGGTCATCGATGAATAGACTTGCTTGCAAAAGTAGACTAGGCATTTCCACTCTTTATCATAGGGGTGGTTTAAGTTTGATGTTGCTTCTCCCTTTGATTAACTGCCTTGACCACCAATGACTATGGAGGAATGAAGCAGGACTGGGGGAAAATCCTTCTTGAGGCATTCTAGTTTGGTGCCATGATCTCAGTACCGAGTTCAGAACTTCCACGATACCCAGGTTTCCAGTCTCCTGGAATTCTGTTAGCACCTAGTATCCCAGTGCTGGTGACAATGCCAGAGCGGATGCACCGTCACCATACCAACCCTCATCATACCAATTTGTCTGGTGTCAACTTTGATGATGCTGCTGATGGTATTGATAGCACTTCAAATCCTGGGAATGTTTTAGGGTGTATACCCTTATCCCTCTGTACTGGACATTCTAGGCCTATGCCCAAAGGATCTGTGGGCCTGTCAGCACCACTGGGTGCCAACAATCACCATGAGGTATGGGTGTGCCAGACGACCTTTCTGCCTGCAGTGCTAAGGATACCAAGCAAGATGGTGATCACTTTCACTCATCTCTGGGTTTGCTGAGGAGACTTCCCACTCTCTTCTTTAGCTTTTGAGAGGAGTTCCCAGTTCTTTCACAAAGTCAAAAGCCAGGGGCATAGGCACCAGCTTCCTCTGGGCCCAAAGGCTGCTCTTCCCCAGGCTCCACCTCCACTCGACACCTTCCCCCAAGTTCTCACTCTCAATAAACATCCTCCCATCCCGACCCTGCTGTGACGTAGTGTGGGTACTTTGTTGTCATATACCTAGACTTTAGTAAGGCATTTGATACGGTCTCGCATGATATTCTTATTGATAAACTAGGCAAATATAACTTAGATAGGGCCACGATAAGGTGGGTGCATAATTGGCTGGATAACCGTAGTCAGAGAGTTGTTGTTAACGGTTCTAAATCCTGCTGGAAAGGGATAACAAGTGGAGTTCCTCAAGGGTCTGTTTTGGGACCCGTACTGTTCAATATCTTCATCAATGATGTAGATATTGGGATAGAGAGTACTCTTATTAAGTTTGCAGATGATACCAAACTGGGTGGGGTTGCAACTTCTTTGGAGGATAGGGACATAATTCAGAATGACCTTAGCAAGTTAGAGAAATGGTCAGAGGTAAACAGGATGAGGTTTAATAAGGAGAAATGCAGAGTGCTCCACTTAGGAAGGAACAATCAGTTCCATACATACAAGATGGGAAGCGACTGTCTAGGAAGGAGCATGGCGGAAAGGGATCTAGGGGTCATAGTGGACCACAAGTTGAATATGAGTCAACAGTGTGATGCTGTTGCAAAAAAAGCAAATATGATTCTAGGTTGTATTAACAGGTGTGTTGTAAGCAAAACTCGTGAAGTCATTCTGCCGCTCTACTCTGCGCTAGTTAGGCCTCAGCTGGAGTACTGTGTCCAGTTCTGGGCGCCACATTTCAAGAAAGATGTGGAGAAATTGGAAAGGGTACAGAGAAGAGCGACAAGAATGATTAAAGGTCTAGAGAAGCCTATGAAGCCAGGCTTCATGAACTGGGCTTGTTTAGTTTGGAAAAAAGAAGATTAAGGGGGGACATGATAGTGGTTTTCAAATATCTAAAAGGGTGTCACAAGGAGGAAGGCGAAAATTTGTTCCTCTTGGTTTCTGAGGACAGGACATGGAGTAATGGGCTTAAAGTGCAGCAGGGGAGGTTTAGATTGGACATTAGGAAAACATTCCTAACTGTCAGGGTGGTCAAATATTGGAATAAATTGCCAAGGGAGGTGGTGGAATCTCCCTCTCTGGAGATATTTAAGAACAGGTTAGATAGACATCTGTCAGGGATGGTGTAGACGGAGCTTGATCCTGCCTTGAGGGCGGGGGGCTGGACTCGATGACCTCTCGAGGTCCCTTCCAGTCCTATTATTCTATGATTCTATGATCATGGAGGAAGCAGCCTAGGCAACGGGCTGGGATTTACGGGCCCAGGCTCCCCCATCTCAAGGGGGGCTGAGGCATCCTAGGCCTGCCCTGTAACCATATTACATCTGTGCTGTGTTGTATCCTGGAGAAGCAATAAACTCCCTCTATTCTACTGGCTGGTGGAGTCTGTGCGTGCCACTACGGGGGTGCAGGAGACGGGAAAACCCCAACGCGCCATTACACCTGCCTCCTCTCTCCCTCAAGCACACCCCATTCTATCTTCTCGCCCTTTCTCCCAGAGCTTCCCGCACAGCAGATTGTGGTGGGCAGAAGGCACAGGGAGGGTGGGAGAGAAATTAATCAGTGGGGCCACCGGCGGATGGGACAATTAAAAAATAAAGCCCTTTTTTATGGCACATGGATCTGTTAATGTACAGCTCATGGCTCTGTCTCTAGCTGAAACCATAGAGTAAGAACTGAGGACCGTTAGCCCACATGCACTGATTAGCCTCGTGGCACAACATGAGGAGAGATAGCACATGAGATGATCTTCTGGAAAAGCTCTCAGTCTTTTCAAGCTCTTAGTCAAAGTTGTTGGTTGAGGGAATATTTTTGTTGAATGTGGCTCCCTCCAAAACAGCAAATATACTGAGAATGCTTGTCCATGACACGGATAGCCTTGCTGCGCGCATGACACTTTTGAAGCCCAGAGAGCCAAGCATACCCTTGTCTGGGGTGATCCCTTGGCTAAGGGGGGTTGTGGAATCTCCATCTCTGGAGATATTTAAGAGCAGGTTAGACAGACATCTATCAGGGATGGTGTAGAGGGTGCTGGGTCCTGCAGTGAGGCCTCAAGCACACCCCATTCTATCTTCTCGCCCTTTCTCCCAGAGCTTCCCGCACAGCAGATTGTGGTGGGCAGAAGGCACAGGGAGGGTGGGAGAGAAATTAATCAGTGGGGCCACCGGCGGATGGGACAATTAAAAAATAAAGCCCTTTTTTATGGCACATGGATCTGTTAATGTACAGCTCATGGCTCTGTCTCTAGCTGAAACCATAGAGTAAGAACTGAGGACCGTTAGCCCACATGCACTGATTAGCCTCGTGGCACAACATGAGGAGAGATAGCACATGTATGAGCCAACAAACACTGTTACTGAAATTCACCAATCAGCAGCACAAAGGCACAGAGATAGCTATAGTGGAGCAGCCATAGGGAAACTACTCAAAGAAAAGCTTTATATTATCAATGAATGGCCAATCATTATACTGACCACTCTTAAACTCAGCCAGACTGCACCATTACTCCTTTGAAGTAGCTTCCTTGCTTTCTGCACAGGAATTAAGTGAATACAGGCCAGTCTAAAACTATTAACTTTTTTACAAAGCTGCCTTTTAACTACCTTAGTACTAACAAGTCCTAACCCAGCAAATGCATATAACTGTCACTCAGCAGCAAAATATTGTCCCCCTTTTATTCAAAGTCACACCAGGCACTCAATAGCAGCTATATTCTCAAAGATTGTTACAATAATTTTGATAGATTTCCATACTACATATATCCCAAAACCAGGCTGTGACATTTAGCAAGTAAATCCCCTTCTTCCACAGTAGATGAAAGACTGATTTCAATTCTCTCCCAAACCATTCAGTCTTACTTTATGCACCTGGAATGTAATCACATTATTCTGAGCCACATACAGAAGTGTGATACCTGTCTTGATGTCTTCATCTGAAGCTTCACTTTTCAGAAGGATTTTAATTTTCAAGTAAAAACCAGCTGGATGCATATTCTCCTGCATATTGAAAAGCAATGACAATACATAAACAGCCAAATTGGTTTTTGAAACTCAGAGAACAATTTTAGCTGAATCCTGTCAAGAGTCCAACACATTCACACACATGAAGGAATGTCAGGAAATCGTAGCAAGAACAGGCTTTCCCACGCATACATACACAATATAAATATTCTCCACAGTGTTCTCCAATCTAGTTTTAAATGTCCCAAGCTCTATAATAATGGGGGGTTTCCACAAGGGGAGACGCAATTCTCGGTTTAGTCCTGAGTGGAGCGCAGGATCAGGTCCAGGAGGTAACCGTTACAGGACCGCTTGGGAATAGTGACCATAATATAATAACATTTAACATTCCTGTGGTGGGAAGAACACCTCAGCAATCAAGAACTCTGGCATTTAATTTCAAAAAGGGAAATTACCCAAAAATGAGGAGGTTAGTTAAACAGAAATTAAAAGGCACAGTGACGAGAGCCAAATCCCTGAAAGCTGCATGGAAACTTTTTAAAGACACCATAATAGAGGCCCAACTCAAATGTATACCCCAAATTAAAAAACATAGCAAGAGACCTAAAAAAGAGTCACTGTGGCTTAACCACCATGTAAAAGAAGCAGTGAGGGACAAAAAGGCATCTTTTAAGAAGTGGAAGTCCAATCC